GTTTCCGGCGGGTCGGAGCGTTTTCCGGCCAACTCCGGCGAAATTGACGGCGGGCACCAACTCCAATGCGGTCGTGGCATCCGGGCGACCTCCAGGGACACCTCAATTGCAAGATTTGATGACGATTTGCAAAACCCCCACCCAATTTCGAATTTTAGGGTTTTTCGAGTATAAAAATTCAGATTCGAGAAGTTACAGGCCAAATTAGACAAAATGGTTTGGATATTATTGATCCTCGTCTCAAGACAAAGAGAATGACATTGGTCCCGCCGGAATCGGAAAAAGTTCATTTTCCAGTGACTTTGACCGGCGGGCGGCGGCGGCGGGGCCTAGAAGAAAAGAAAAGAAGAAATGGGGTCAAATTGAAAATTTTAAAATATATAAAATTCGAATTTGGCCCTAATGACCGGAAGTTAACCTAGAAACGGGCTAATGGCTCATTAGTGAAAGGATTGTGTAAGTTCGGGGATTTTTGTGAAAGGATTTGAAGTTCAGGTACCACTTTGAAATTCCAGCTAAAGTTCAGGTACCATTACTGAAATTTACCCTACAATCATACTCCATAAAAATTTTGAGTCCCATTTTAGAGACTTCTCTCAAAACTTGCTGGACGATCATCCAGGAAAAGTTAAATCGGATTTTAATCACATATTGATTGACCAAGGTTGAAACTTATATTTGCTACTTGTAGAGACTCTATGCTTAACATATTTAATTACTCCCTCTGTCCCAAAAAGATCGTTACGTTTCATTTTTTGCGCATCCCTTAAAATATTTTTATATCGTCTCAAATGCCAAAAAAACTTTCAAAACAATTTCATCTTATAATAAAGAGTAAATATGGTAAATTTTAGAATTTTTAGATGTGAGTAGCATTGCTTTTTGTAATGCGCAAAGAAATGAAACGTAACAATCTTTTTGGGACGGAGGGAGTATTTTCTTACATAGTTAACAGGAATCAAATTCGGGTGTTATACTCTTCGTACCACAAGCCTTGCCAAATGCCAATTCTGATAAGCTCTCGACAGAAATATTTATACTCCGAAGTTATGTCGAGGGCGTGCGCAACACAATTTGCAACGCAAAGGGTGTTAAAGGGTAGCACTTGAGTTTGATTTCTGACAATTGTGTTGGGAAGCAATAATGCTAAACATGAAGTATCCGTGCAAGTACTAGGTTGTGCAGGTTCCATCCTTTGTCAATCAATCTTTAATTAAAGCTTAAATTACCTGTTCTCAAGTAACTGTCCAACCAGTTTTGAGGGGCCCTCGAAGATGGGCTCATCCTTTATTTATACTCTGTAATTATCACACTCACACTTAACTCTGAGTATAAGGGTCCATTTTGTGAGTTGAGGTACGATATGTGTTTCTGAAAACTAAAAAATGATATGAAGATTTGAAATTTAAAATAAGTTATTTGAAGAGATTTATACTTATGATTTAATTAGTGATAGTCATGGGATTGGCGGTGACAGTAGTAACTGGTTGCGGGGGTGGGCGTGGTGGTAAATAGGAATTCGTATTGTGGTAATGTGGTGATAATGTGACACTATACATGTGCACATTACTATACTTTTGATAATGTAAATTATCATGTTTGGTAATGTAAATACATTTTAACTCTTATTTTGAAAATAAAAATATGGAAATCCAATTTTGGTATACTCGGTATTTCAATAATGTTTTACTCTTATTTTTGTCTTTTTCCCATTATTCATAATTCTTTTTCAATCATTTTTAGGAATACATTTTTTTTTCTATACTTCAACTACATCACATCAAATTTGTTTTGATCTCGGTAATTATTATTATTTGTGACTTTTTTTTATTGAACAAAAGCAGTATTTCCTCTAAAATGTGTGAAGATATTTTCTTGTGAAATTTGCACTAAATAGGACTAAACATAAGTCATTTCTCAATGTAGAACTTATCCTTTTTAATTTTCTAAATAGGACTTAATAATGACTAGTGAGAATAATAATCTCCAAGTGATGTTGGACAATTAGTTGAATAATGACTAATAAATAATGACCAAAAATCCTATATTGGAAATAAAAACATATGGTTCTATATTGAGAAAATCATTATGTTTTAGCAAATTGCCCTATTTTCTTTACACTCGGGGAATATGGAGCCATCGTGTTGAATTAAAACTCAGTCACTCTCAACGTTGTTCCCATGTTATGTCGATTTGTCAACTTTGTCAGTTCACTTTATGCTCTTTTCGAAAATTCAGTTACTCTATACTTTATTTTCATCAATTCAATTTATGTTCTGTCACACTCAAATTTATAAATGTATAGTTTCGGATTTTCTCAAGAAATTAATAGACATTAAGTAAACCCTAGAAATAATTATTAATGTAGTTAACTAACCATTTTGACAGCTAATTAATGGAAGAGTGTTCTCTTTAGTAATTAAGATGAACATTTCGATATGCTAAAAACTAGTAAACGTGTGAATAAGAAATTGATCCACTATATAAGTGGGATCAAGAGCTTAGTAAAAAATTGTGGAAAGGATGAGTTTCATCTATGATGACAGTTACTTAACAGTAAGTAAATTAATTAAGCTTTAATCACAAACTTGTTGCAAAGGAAGAAACTTATACCTGGTAATTGCAGAGACTCTATATTTAGCATAGAGATGATTATCTACATGCAATAGCAGGTACCAACGATTTCTTTTATTTTCAGTGATGGTGTGATCGGCATTGATGGACTGCCTTTGGGAAATTCGAAGGTGAACACGGAGGACTAAGCGTGACTCCTGGGTAACCTGCTACGTATGAATGCATACCTTCTTTTAATGTGTTTTCCAAAATAGCATGTAAAGAAAAATTAACAAAAAATATAGTCTTTCCGCCCTAAAAAGATGATCTCGCTTCATTTTTTGCTTCATTTTTTGCGAATCTCATAAAACACTATTATCTACACTTATA